ACACACACACACACACACAAAGAGAGAATGATCTTCTATCCATTGGTTCATTTTTCAAACACCTGCAATTGCCAGACTGAGCCCATGAGGCAGGAATTCCACCTGAGTCTCCCGGATAGGCAGTGAGGACTCAAGCATTTGAACCCCTACCTGCTTGCTGTCTGGTTCATCCCAGCTCCATCAGCAGTGGTGGAGATGGGACCCAACTACCGACACTCCCAGATGGGATGCAGGCAATGCAAACATTTGCTTAATTTACTGTACTAATGCATGCTCCTAAGTATCTTTAAAAGATAGGAGGTTTATTTTAAATAATGTGAAATAATATGTGGCCCTAGTAGAGGCTCAAGTATTTTCCCTACATTTATTTTTATGTTATTAATTTGCAAAACTAATCATTATATTTTTATAGACTATACAGCAAAATGGCGTTTGTGAAAGCGGGTAGCACATGGGAGAAATTGAGTAAAAGTTATTTTTAAAGCTAAATAAGTAAATAAATAAATAAAACACTTCAGCTCAGCACTTGTCTGGTCCACCACGAATTCTATTTCTGGAATGAAACCCGACAGAACCCTCTCTGACACGGCGTCTGAGGACAAGCACTGCCGTGTGTGCTAGGGACTCACTGTGTTCAGACTTCCTTTGGTGCCTGCAACTGTGCTTCTTGCACACACAGTGCACGATGTACAGGGCAGGCACAAGCCAGCGACGTCAGCAGTGATGATCTACTGATCTACTGGATTAAATGCCAATGTTTTACTGAGCCTCTATTTCAAACAACCCAAACCTCAGAATTCTGTGCCCCCAAATCACACCTTCTATCTTGACCCATCCTCACATCCTACTTGCATACTCAGGGATCCTTTCACACTCAATAGAACGTTACAGAAAAAGTTCAGCCATGTGATAGAGGCTGATGCAGAAAATTCGATACAAAGATCTCTCCAACTGGAATCACTGAAAATTCGGGACACTTTCTCTGAAGGAAAAATCCCTAGACCATGAGGGATGAGACCTTCACCCCGGCTGAGGTGGCCAGGGAGGGACTCTCATCCGGCTCCTGCAGGAGACAGCAGACCCTTCTCCCGCTGGAGAGTAAGTGGTTAACTAAAACAAAACCCCTGTGCAGCAGAGAAGAGCTATCGGTGCCAACTGCTGTGCCTGCCATGCCAAGGGCTGCTGGTGTCCACAGGAAGGCAGAGCACAGCATTCCCTCAGATTTGTCATCAGAAAGATGAGGAACGAAGGCACAGAAGAGCCCCGAGATCGTGGTGAGGGCAACAGAGCAAGCTTTGCAAGCACTAACCAAAACAGCCCAACAGTAAGAGCAACAGCAGCTAGCACAGACCAAGTGCTCGCCACGTGTGGGCAGGATTAACGCATTCAGCAGCAAGTTTATGAAACGAGAATCGCATCACCTCCATTAAACCATGCAGGACCCCAAATCACAGAAGGATAGGAAAACCGCCAACGTTACACTGGCAAGAAGCGGCATGGGTGGGACTTGAATCCAAGTCCAACTTTGTCCAAAACCTGCCTCAACGCCTCTGGATCGTTATCATGTTGAAGTCTCATAACATGTCTCATGATTATTAAAGTCCTATTATTATCCTCATTTTTAAAAACAGAACAGAGTATGTCTTACATAAAGTGTCCATTCTCGGGTCACTGAGCTGATAAATATGATAAATGTAGATTTATAGGGAGAAGGTGAAACAGAGAAAAACATCTTACTGCTGGTTCAGGGAACTGGATGGGAAGAGTGGAGTTGCCGGGATATGAACCAGTGCCCATATGGGATCCCGGAACATGAAAGGCAAGGACTTTAGCCGCTAGGCTACCACGCTAGGCCCCCTTTCTAAATTTTTATTCTACATCGTGTCCATGTATATGCTCACTGAGGCCTTACTGTCCTTTAGTGACCAACTCTTTGTTTTGAATTTTAATATTGACAACAATGACATTCATTAAAGTAAGGATGGTTTTGTCATTTGACCTATTCTTTATACCTCAGGGTGGAGCTCCCATGACAGTGGCTGGTAAAGATGCCTGAGCACAGCAGCTTGAGCACACACCAGGAAGCATGGCTAGTGATTGTGGATTCCTTTTACCCCAAACCTGACTCCTGGTTGTCAGCAATAAACTTCATCTGAAGCTTAAATGGCTGACATTTATTTACTGCCGCCCAGCATGGGAAGGAATTACAAGCCAAGAAAAGTTATGTCAGCAGTCTTTGGGGCTATAAGATCAATGGATTTTTTTTTTCTACCATGCTGTGTTCCAAAATTAATCTGGTTCCTGCCTGCCACAAACTGACACAGATTATTTAAGGCACAGCATTTATCCTCCACAATTAGGATTTCCCCAGTCCTTCCATTATAAGATCAAACAAAATGAACCTGTTTTGTATCTTAGGAAGCTGTGAGCTGAGATGCCCGTTAGCTCCAATACATGTGCTCCGCTGCTCAAATGCTGCCAGGTTCCTTGGCATTTGATAGATTCACAGTGTGGATCCAGCCGCTTGTTAAGCTCGCTCAGAGAAAGCCAGTACAATTCAAGACTTTCCTACACAGCTAGAAGAAGGAAAGCAAACCCATGCACGGCCGTGCCCACTTCTTTTAGGATTACTGGGTTTCATTGTATCCATCATGATATCTGGTGCTTTGCTTTGTTAATATTCTACAAGCTTCCCAGGTTCAAACTCAGAATATTTAGTGTATCAGCTATGTATGATCTGTGTGGCAGAATGATCGGCTTGGAAGGGACGTTCCTGGTGAAACCAGTCAAGAGAAAACTACTTAAGTGAGCTGTACTGCGTTTGTGTTCTTTCATAAGAGGGAAGATTTCCACTCTACAGGTGTGGTGGATAGCAATTCATTGTGTGCTGTGACTAAGTAATCAAGAAAGAACACAGATTTCTTTCTTACAGAGCCACTTGTAAAGTGAGGTGCAGAGACGTTGCACATTAATGATGTATATAATCCATGGCCCAAGAGTGTATGGTACAGAGGAGTCTCAATGCTGTTATGTAACTATCACAAAGACGACATTCTCTTGTTGGGGCTTCAGGTACCGCCCTGCCGTCTTCTGTCTGCAGCCTTGCAGTTGCTGCGTCCTAGGAAGCCAAGTAAGGGAGTCCCTCAAACATGAACATCCTCTCCTGGGAAGCACTTTCCCTAAGCTCTGTCAAGAAAACCGACAGGAGAGCTTTCCTGATCTTCCGGCTCTTATTTCTCTCTGAAGTGGGGAACTGGGTCACTTTAAGTGGTATGTGTCTATAAAATTGGTTACAATTGGACGTGTGTTTTTAAGCTTGGGGCCTCCCAGAGTTTGGGAGTGCTGTGGATTTTACCTTCTGGCTACAGTCACATGTTTTCATAAATTAATTCAGAAGATACCCATGAGCTGTTTATGTTTTCACTCTCATTTTGGTCTTGATGTGAGGCCCAAGGATTCTGGGCTCTGCACTGAGCATACTCCAGGCTGGGCTCCAGGCTCTGCACTGAGTGTAAATTATGGTTACATTCCTTTTACCCTTCTTGGACCAGTATGCAAGACTACACAAGCACATATTCATTTTTCACTTATATCACATCTGCTAATACTCACTGGTCAAAGTAAGTTCACTTGATCAAGCTGAAAAATGGAGAAAATATATTTTTCCCACCATATGACAAAAAATATAAATATATAGATATATTACTATAGTAGTCGCATGAAGGATATGAATATACATATATACACATATATAAAGAATGAAGAATTGCAAACCAATCTATAATGACACGACAAGGAGAATGTGTCACTTATGTCCATACGAGTTCATTAAAAATCACACACATCCAAAATTGGAAAGAAAGAGCTGTGGCCCTAAGAGTCGTAAAACATTTGAAAATTAATTACAATAAAGAAGCTGAGGCCCCAAACAGGGAAACATTTCATTAAACTCGGGTCTAGCCGCCGTCCCATCAAGCAGCTGCCATGCTATGTAGATGTGTTCAACAAGGCTGAGGTCTGAGTTTCTTGCAGAAAAACACTTTGCCGTTTCTACCTTCACTATCACATGAATTCCTAGCAGCATACAAGTAATCTGGGCCAACTAAAGGTGAATTTTCAATGTGTTCGAATTTTCACATGAAAAATGACAACATTTTTTGAGTTTAAATCTCTCATCTACTAATACTTATGTTAATACTTAGTAGAAACATATTAATTTAAAACTGTTCTGAAAATAGTTTCATGTATTATGTGCACACAAACATTCCTTTGATTTGTCCTTCAAGGTTTATACTGGTTGCTAAAATATTGAACTGTATCTCCACTGGCTGGCAATAGCATCACTGCTAGTCCCCCCAGAAATCCTTCCACTGACACCCATCTCCTTACATTCTAGCAACTACATCATAGCAATGGCCTCTCGGTATCTTGACAAAACCATACCAAGAATTTATTCTGATGAGTCTGAGACCATAACAGACAATTTCTAAAGTATTTTTGGATATCTCTATTATCATCTGAATTAACATATGTGGGATTCTCATCCAAGGACAGAATTTGCCACAGGTCATCTGCTGGGCTTGAACGCATTGTATTAGCTCTCTGGTTTTATTTTTATCATTTGTAAAAACACCCTTTACTGTATAAATCCTTTGTCACAAGCTTGTGCCTGGGACTAGAGATAGAGTGACAGACACACACACAAAAAAAAGACTCATAACCTTCGCTGTCAGTGTGATATTATGGGTTAAGCCCCAACCTACAGAGCCAGTATCCCGCATGTGTGCCAGTTTGAACCCCAGCTGCCCCACTTCCCATCCAGGTTCCTGCTAATGAGCTTGGCAAAGCAGGAGACCTAATGAAGCTCCAGGCTCCTGGCTTCAGATTGAGCCAGCCCTGACTGCTGAGGTCATTTGGAGAGTGAATCAGCAGGTATAAAACCTCTCTCTCTCTCTTTCTGTCTTTCTCTTTCTTTCTGTCTCTCCTTCCCTCCCTCTCTGTAACTTAGCCTTTCAAATACAATGAAATCCTTACAAATAAAAAGATTCTGCAACTTACACGATTCTGTAACAAGTGAGCATGTAGCTGATGATGAGACAAATGCCAGCGTAACGAGTGGGGAGTTGGTAGAGATGACAGAGCAAGCGATCCAGCCAGGGAAAGACTACCAGGCCAGAGAACTCTTCCTGGAAGAAGCACCATCTAGGCTGAGATGTTCAGGCGTGTCGAACAGGAGGCAGGGAAAGGGGAGAGTTCTTAACACTAACAAATATTTGGAAAGGAAGGGAACTTAAATTGAATATATTTCAAAAGGTCCATGAAAAGTGGAATAACAACATCAGTTTATTTTGGTGCAATTTTTTTGTGAAATTCATTATACATTTTTCATAACATTCATTTCCATAAAATTTTAGAAACCTGTGCATTATGAATATGGAAAGAAGATCAACATAGCAGAGAAAAGTGAATTTTAGATGGAGCTGAGCACATAGGCAGAGCTCACATGAAGTTAGACTTTTTTCTAATGTGAATTTAGATTTTTGTCTAAGGTCAGTGAGAAGCCATTGATGAATTTTAAGCTGCCTAATGACAAGAGTAATCTATTCATTTACTTATAAAGACTTATGGATTTATTTAGGAGGCAGAGTTACAGAGAGAACCCTCACCTGCTTCCTCACTTCCTAGACGGCCACAACGGCTAGCACGGGTCCAAATGGCCACAGTGGCCAGGGCTGGACTCCATCTGGGTGTGCCGTGGGGGTGGCAGCCATGCAAGGAGCATCTTCTGCTGGTAGGAAAGTGCGTTTACAGGGAACTGGATCAGAGAAACAGCAGCTGGAACTCAACTGGCACCCACCCGGGATTACAGCACGGAAGGGGACAGCTTAACCCCCTGCAGGCCAGTGCCTGCTTTACGATTTCTAACCTCGGCCTGTGAGGTCTTCTTGCTCACTTAAAACCAAAAAAGACGGATCAGCCTTCATTTTGAAATCAGACATGGTTTTGAAACCCTAAGAATCACACTTCCTCCATTTAAAACCGCTTCATGTGGCAGTGACTAATGATTTCAGGCACAGTCCCAGGAAGCAGCCTGCCCGGGTGCAGCCTCTCCCCTTTGCAACGCGGTGTCTCCTCTTCCTTGGTGGGAAAATACGCAGAATCTTTACTTCACAGAATGGCTAAATTTAAAAAACAGAGTCTTTGCATGCAGGAAGCATAGATATTTTATTATTTCCCAAACCTGAATTTTATATACTTGCATTCTTTGTTTCTAGGAGCTGGGCTAAGATAGAACTTTTTTTAAAAAAAAAATTAGGGCTTCAGGATCACAGCAGACAATTTATTGCTCTGAAATCTCCATTTGGAAATTAGGTGCAAATAAAATCTTAACTTCTTTCTTATAAATTATTCAATGATACTAAAATATAGATACCATTGAGACGCTCCAGATAGTGTTTATAATAAACGCCTGGAATTGATTCAATCAGCAAGAACAAACGATTGCAGCCTTTGAAGTTCGGAATGAGATATTTGCAAGCAGAAAGTTTCCAGCATCTTTACCTCCAGTTTTAATAACTGCACCTTCCTTCTCTTCCTTGTTGCACTTGCTAAAATATGCAGTGGTCTGCCCTGTCTATACAGCTATTAGTACTTGTGTTCATTCTATTGCTGCTGCAATAAAAGGCTATACTGTATATTGGCAAAGGCCAACACAAATTGATTATCCTACAGCACAAACATGAAATGGGTCTCGCAGAACTAAGATCCAGGCGTCAACAGGATTGTGTTCTGTTCTGGTGGACCAAGGGGGCAATCTATTGCATTTTCCACCCTCTAGATGCAGCCCACTGACCTTGGCTCATGGGCTTCTACCACGGTCTTCAAAGCCAGCAACGTTAGGCCAAGTCCTTCCCACATTCTCAGTTAGCTCGGGCTGCCATAGCAAAACACTACAGAGGGATGACTCCAGCAGTAGAGGCTTACCTCCTTAGCATCTGGGAGGTTGGAAGGCCAAGAGAGAACGCAAGCACGGCTGGGTTCTGGCGAGGGCACACGGTGCTTGGGTTACAGATGGGTTCCTCTTCACTGTGTCTTCAGTGCAGAGACAGTCCCCCGGTGTTTCTTCTGCCAAGGACAAAACCCCATCATGAGGATTCCATGCTCAAGAGCTCATGTTAACACAATCACCTCCCAAAAGTCCAGTCTCCAACACCACCACACTGGACATCTGGACTGCTAGATCTGAATTTTGCTGGGGGACAGGGAAAGAGTAGATATATTTAATCTGTAGCATATATTATCATTCCAATTTCCTCTTTTGCCTTCCTCTTCTGTATTTAATGAATATTATGACTATTCTGGATCCACTTGGCTTATTCAGGATACTTTATCTAGTTTAAAATAGGCTAATGTAACCCAGGGGCCTGGCGCAATAACCTAGCAGCCAAAGTCCTCACCTTGCACACACCTGGATCCCATATGGGCACTGGTTTTAATCCCAGCAGCTCCACTTCCCATTCAGCTCCCTGCCTGTGGCCTGGGAAAGAAGTTGCAGATGCCCTAAAGCCTTGGGACCTTGGGACCCTGCAACCATGTGGGAGAACCAGAAGAGGCTCCAGGCTCCCTGCCTTCAGATTGGCTCACCACTGGCCATTGCGGCCACTTGGGGAGCGAACCAACAGACGGAAGATCTTTCTCTCTGTCTCTCCTCCTCTCTGTATATCTCACTTTCCAATAAAAATAAATAAATCTTTAAAACAAAATAAAATACACGAATATGAATCTTTATTCCCCATTTCCAAGTAAGGTAACATATTCACATGTTTGGGCATTAAGAAATGGATCTCTTAACGGCATCATTTTATGATAGTATCTTTTTTAAAAAAGATTTATTTATTTATTTTTATTGGAAAGCCAGATATACAGAGAGGAGGAGAGACAGAGAGGAAGATCTTCCATCCGATGGTTCACTCCCCAACTGGCTACAACAGCAAGAGCTGAACCAATCCAAAGCCAGGAGCCAGGAGATTCTTCTGAGTCTCCCATGCAGGTGCGGGGTCCCAAGGCTTTGAGTCATCCTCAACTGCTTTCCCAGGCCACAGGCAGGGAGCTGGGTGGGAAGCGGGGCCCCCAGGACCCTACATGTTTTTCTAATATGTGAACTTTGTCATGGGTACATAGGTATGTACTACAGTAAACTAAACACACAGCATTGACAGCATCTGATAGATTTCATAATCCTGGGATATATCTCTTGAGGAGAAGACAAGACTAATGAACAACACTATTTCTCTGTCAGGATGGCTTGCAGTGGGAAGGCCTCTTTATATTCCAGGGAGACAATGGGGAAGAAAATGCCAAGGTGAAGGCTGTTATCGTCCCACGACACTCAAGTTCAGAAATATGAAGACAGTGGGTAGAGCACCTAGGACACTCGCCTTTACACATGTTTATTTATTTGAAAAGCAGAAAAACAAATGTTAGGCAGGCACACAGGTAATCCATCTGCTAATTCAACCTCCTAGAAGCCAGTAACAGCCAGGACTGGGGCAGGACAAAATCAGGATCTGGGAATTCACTGTAGATCTCCCATGTGGGTGGCAGGTGCCATGCAGAGTGCGCATCGGCAGGAAGCCGGAAGCAGGAGGAGACTCAGAACTGGAACCCAGGAACTCGGACAAAGGAGGCAGGTGTCCCCAGTGCATTCTAACCACTACATCCCACATCTGTCCCTCGGTGTTCTTTTAGAGTTTTGTTGTCCTTGGGCCCGGCGCGGTGGCGCAGTGGTCAAGGTCCTCGCCTTGCACGCCCAGGATCCCATATGGGCGCCTGTTCTAATCCCGGCGGCCCCTCTTCCCATCCAGCTCCCTGCTTGTGGCCCGGGAAAGCAGTCGAGGACGGTCCAAGGCTTTGGGACCCTGCACCCGCGTGGGAGACCCGGAAGAGGCTCCTGGCTTCGGATCGGCATAGTATCGGCCGTTGCGCTCACTTGGGGAGTGAATCATCGGACGGAAGATCTTCCTCTCTGTCTCTCCTCTCTGTATATCCACCTTTCCAATAAAAAATAAATAAATCTTAAAAAAAAAAAAAAGAGTTTTGTTGTCCCTCCAGTCATGTGCCCATAACCTCTGACCCAAAGTGGCTAGCTGAATTTAACGGCAGGGTCTGAGCAGAGTCTATAGTAAAAGTGCTATTTTCTGGAAGTAAATGATTTATCTATATGAGGTAAAGGAAATTTTCCAGGAAGAAGAGTTGTTACATAGCAAACACCATTAAGCTTATCAGTGTAGTTGTAATCATTGGTTGGCAGAATGGTTACTTTGTACTCATTACTTCCTTTGGTAAGGTCCGTCTATAAAACGAGAAGCATGCTTTGTAAATTACTCCTGATTTCTTGCCCCGGCCCTTCTTTGCTTTCTTGCTGAAAGTAATTGCAGGTAGACTGCAGACACGCTTATTGAAAAGACTGGTCATGTGCGATTGGGGAATGGGGACCGACTCTTAGGTGGTCAGCAGATGGGTCTCTTAGGCCTGATCTCCAACCTCAGGGAACACCTCAGGGACATGTGGTCTGACCTCAAAGCCCAAACTGTGGGACAGGGCCACCCCTGTTGCTGACCCCATATAAGGAAAGACAACATCCTGGGCTGCACAGGAAAGACAGGACAGCCACTCTCCGATTCAACAGAAAACCTCGAGTGCCTCACCGAAGCATGGAAAGAAGAGCAAGTTGAATGACACAACAGGCCACATTCTCCACCGAGCATTCCGAAATAGACACAGACACCGGAAAGTGTGGGAAGTACCACCTCACGCGTGGTGCCATGAAGCCAACACTGCTTCGGAACCACCAGGACCACTCAAGTCACAGCCTCAGGACACTCTTGCCCGCTCAGAATTCCTGGGATGGAATCAAGGGATCATCTCTGTCTCCTCACACTGATGTGATCTGCCAAGAAGTGTTGCAAGCTCTCCCCTCCCTCCACCCCTGCAGTCACTGGGAGAGGTAGGGTCTCTCCCCCGCTCCCCATCCCTCCCCATCCCACCCAGAGATCTACATGGGTATCCCCTCACTTAAGTGACAATCATTGAAAAATAAATGTCTTTTTATAAAAAAGAAAAAGAAATCGGGCACCACATAAAACACTGTTCACAACTAGGAAGGACAAGGTGGAGCCCACATGACGAAGTCTTTGCTTTGCATATGCTGAGTCCCCGTAAATACTTAGGATACTCATCATTAATTTCTCTTTTTCCTCAGTTTTGGTTTTCTCAATCTGACCCCACATCACCCTCCAAGAAATGGCAATTTTAGACACCTAATGTAATAGAGGATGCTCAGTGAATGGAAAGTGACCGCTACAAATCCTAATAGCACCTAAAATAGCAATTCAGCTACATACATGCACAAGTTTGGGGTAAGGCAGAGAGTCTCTTAAAACTAGAGTATTCATTCCCAACCAAAGTCCTTGCTTTCCAATCAGTGAAAACAAAATTGATTTTCAGATTCTCTACTGGCTGAAGGAATCTGAATCTAGGGGAAATAACTGACTATAACAAAAGAAGAGTAATGGCAGTATAAATTCATACGTTTCTGTATGTGTACACATGCGTACAATTTTCTTTTCCTGCTAAGACAGACTTGGGTTTGAATCATTTGCTTTAGAATGTGAATCAAATAATGAGTTCTTGAAGAACAAAACAATGTTTCAAAGAAAGCTGTGACTCCTTTCTGGGGAAGTGAGACAGCAGTGCCTTTGTGTGAGTCGGCCCGGGCGCAGCCAGCCGCAGTCAGCGGGAGAGCCACGCAGTGCCTTGACACTGCAGCTACCCTCCTTGGCCAAGACGCTCAAGTGAACCCATGTCATTTTTCCTTCTGTAATCCTGTATTTTTAGGGGAGTGACTGTCACTGTCCCAAGCTTGAACCCCATTTCCATTGTTACCCCTGCTCATGAGTACATCTGGGCCATGAGCTCTTAAAAGAATTATGTAGTTGAGCACAGTTTTAAAAAAACAAAATTCTTGAGAAACTGAAAGTTGTTGGATTTTTCTACCACTTCCTTCTGGCATGTAAGTTTCTAGAAAGAGGTAACCTCATAAGCTAGCCCACTCCTAGAGTAGTTTAACATTTGGTTGAACTCTACATTAACGCTATTTGCCATTACAATCACAGGTTCCACCGAGGCAGGCTCCAGGCACAGTTCTGGAGCTCATGGTGACCCCGCAAGCGGGGGGCTACATGCGCAAACTGCAAATTCAGTCATTCAAAGGCTTCGGGAACTTGATTTTCAAAGAGTAATTTCAGGATCCAGAACTGGTTTCCTTTGTTTCAAAGACAACATGTTTGAAAGTACCAACTTAAAAGCCATGTAACAATTATTTCTTTAAGCATGCAGGTTCTGCGGTGCTGTGAGGTACAGGAATACAGGAACAGAAAGGCCGCTTTGATAGCGGCTCACAGATGAAAGATACCCTCCGGAGCAAGTGTTCGCTGCAGCAGCTAACATGGAGCTTCCTCGGGGCCAGCGCTGTGGTGTAGTGGGTTAGGCAGCCACCCACAGAGCTGCCATCCCATGAGTGCCAGTTCATGTCCTGGCCATCACACTTCTGACTCAGCTCCCTGCTAATGCACCTGGGAAAGCAGCAGAGGCCGGCTGCTGTACTCACATGGGGGACCCAGAAGAAACTTCTGGCTCCTGGCTCCTGGCTCCAGACTGGCCATAGCTTCAGCCATTGTGGCCCTTTGGGGAGTGAGCCAGTGCAGAGAAGACCTCTCTCCCTGTCTCACTCAATCTCTCTCTCTCTCTCTAGTTCCATCTATCCAGTAAATAAATACATGCTATTATCTAAATGCAGCTTAGATGCACGTCATGGTGTATGTGCTTCGTGGGCTGCCCCAACCCAGCTCCCCGCTGCTGGCCCTCAGCAGGCGGTGGGCACCTTATCGCCCTCAGCAGGCGGTGGGCAGACGTGCAGACCGGCAGAGTGAGCCTCTGGCTGCTGACCTGGCCGCGCTCTGCCCTGGCTGCTGTGGACATGTGCAGAACGCAGTGGGGGTGAAATGCCTCTCTGATCCCGCTCCTTTCAAACACAAGGAAGATAAACAGTGACTAAAACATACCCACTAACAGGACACATAACCTCTGAGGAAAAACTATTTCAAAAGCTATTTCCTCCTTTTGGCCACACAGAAATCCAGTTCCTACACAGACGCATATTCAAAATATCTTCGAGGGCCTGGTACGATAGCCTAGTGGCTAAAGTCCTCGACTTGA